TTTAAAGGAGAAGAAAAAATATTAAAACACAACTAACCTCTACTTATATATATATATATATATATATGTGTATTTTATAAAAAATTTTACAAAACCACACAAATAAATTATGAATATGATAGAATCTTTTATATGCCATTAAATTTAAAATGAAATTTACCTGTCTGAGAAAAAGTAGAGTGAATTGGTACTTCTTCAGTTTGAGTATGCAAAGTATTTCTAAAAGTAAAATAAATGCACAAAATTTAAATTAGTGACAAATATAAATATATGAGATTTTTAATAATTTTAAGGTTTAAAATTGTTTTAAAAACAATTTTTCACAAAAATTCTTGCTCATATACAAATTAAACCTTGAAATTTTTAATAAAAAAAAACATATTATAATGATGTAACTATACAATATAGATCAAATTTTTTATGACTAACAATATAGCATAATAAGCAAAGCAGTAATAAATATTAATGAAAAAGTAAGAAATTCTAACAGTCTTTAAATTAAATTTATATAAGTTACTTTTTAAATTTTAAATCCTACAAAATAATACATTAATTTATTTTTTAAAAACAGATTGAGTGACTGATTAAGAATTTTTCAAAAAATTTGCATATATGTTTGTCATAACCCTATACGCATGTCAACAAATTCTACAAATTTTGTTTTGGCAATCAATAGGACAAAGATAAGAATTTAGCCTGCATTTTCATTGACTTTATGCCATTTTTAAATAAATGACTCTTTAAAGAGAAATCATCCATAAAAGCTGTGTAATATTTATTTTTGGTTTATTTATTTAAGTTCTAATAAGGAATTAATCGTAAACTGAATGCATGGAAACTACAAAATCACTGATCTCAGTGGTATACGGATCATGGGTTAGAGTCCCCCTCGTCGTCGGGCTAACTGTGGAAGGTTTTCTACTCCATGAATCGCGAATGCTGGTTAGTCCCATCAAAAAGTTTTCCGCGAAGGCTAGTCTATCCAAATGCTTGATTCAGGAGCTCCATTGTCTTTCGGATTTGGTTCAAAATTACAAGACCACATAGTAGTCTTTAAAAATTTATTCAGTCTAAATTACAAGACTACAGAGACTAGATAAATAGTCTTAAACTCAGAATTGGGTTAGCTGTTCAATGCCAGTTTTAAAATAAAAAAATAAATGCAACAGATTTTTTTTATTTTATTTAATACTGCTCAAAAATTATCTCCTTTAAAAAAAAATTAAGTTTTAAAGTTTATTTCATTATTATTATAAAAATAAAATTTTGTTTTAAGAATAAAAATATTTTGAGAGACAAATAATCACATTGTAAAAGAACATAGTATAACTATTACCTTGCATTGATATGGCAACTGCAATTTTGTTCCTTTTTTTCAAATGATTGACAGTTTGAATTTTGATAAGGGTTCTGAAAATTTAAAAAAGTTTTTTTTACAAAAAACACTGAT